TGGAATATGGCTCCCTGCCATAGAGTGCTGTGGACAAAGCCCTTCTGGAGATCCTGGCAGGTTATGAGAAATATAAAGCAAAAACACATATAACAACAGTGGAAGTGACAGTCCTGACATTGTTGGCTCTATCTGGGTACAGGACCACCCTGCGATCATATTCCCACATGGTTCCATAGGTTTCTGGGTCTTCTCTTGGTGGCTCATACCTTAGTTAGTGTTGGCAAATGATTGCAATATGTAGCATGTTCTATTGGTGTCTTCAATTAACATCCAAGATACCATTGTTTCCATCCATTGTCAAAGTAGATCACAAAGTACTGGTGGCTGTCATAGATGGTGTAAGTGTAGTCCACAATCAATGGTACTTCTCCTCTTGCTCTTCTTCTAGGTGGCATGGATGCAGTGGATACCTAAATGTCACTGTGGAGCCAAACCTGCAAAAAAAATGAATTAGAAACAAAAACATTAAGAAAAATATTTAGTTTTCAAAACATTAATATGTAATATGCCAATTGTTTACATACACAAGTTTGATATCTCAAGTGAAAATATTGTTTTGAATATTTCCATTTGATAGTTTCAATCTGAACATTCTCCAATCTAAACTGTTTCTGTTGGTTTTGAAAAAATAGTTTAGAGATCTAAACTGTTTTTGTTGATTTTGAAAAAAACAGTTTAGAGCTCTAAACTGTTTTTGTTGATTTTGAGAAAAACAGTTTAGAGCTCTAAACTGTTTTTGTTGATTTTGAGAAAAACAGTTTAGAGCTCTAAACTGTTTTTGTTGATTTTGAGAAAAACAGTTTAGAGCTCTAAACTGTTTTGTTGATTTTGAGAAAAACAGTTTAGAGCTCTAAACTGTTTTTGTTGGTTTTGAGAAAAACAGTTTAGAGCTCTAAACTGCTTTGTTGATTTTGAGAAAAACAGTTTAGAGCTCTAAACTGTTTTTGTTGATTTTGAGAAAACAGTTTAGAGCTCTAAACTGAAAATGTTGATTTGAAGAAAACAGTTTAGAACTCTAAAGTGTTTTTCAAATATATTTTTTTATCACACTATGTATATTAAGTTTGTAAATTGTACAAAGAAATATTTATGAACACACTTCTTTTTGAAAGACTTGTGTTAGAAGACATGATATAATAATGTTTCATGAAATTTCATCATCAATGATGTAGTATAATAATTAATCATTGCTCTTTCCCTCATGAAATCAATCCTGATTTTATCAGGTTGAATGTTTGATACCTAATACTTGTTGTTTGTCTTTTGGTCATCACTGGTGCCCAGGACTAGCTGGCAAGTGTTTATGCTAATTCAGATCCACCTTCCAAACATGTCATTAATGTGTTTTTTTACTTATCAAAGAAACCAATTGGCAGTATGAGCATGAATGACCAGGCTGAAATCCCAAAGGGTAATTTTGTTAGGGAAGCTGAAACTGCTTACAGTTTTGGAGCTAAGGCAGTGCTCATGGTGTTTGAGCCCCCTCCAAAGACAGTTTGTCTTTAGATTATCAATAGACATATGGTACAAAGATTGTTTCGTTTAAATGTTTACAAGTAAGGAAGCCATAAAAAAAATCTGGTAATGCTAATCAAAAAAACTGAAGTCAAGTGACATTTTTGCAAAGAACTCTGTGGCTCCAATGTGTGTGGTTCTTAGGCTTTACATGTAAGCATTTTTCCTATGGTGGCTTCAAGTTGGTTCTTGTGTTAACTTACTTACATAAGGTTCCCCAAGGTATTTGGTTCCACCCAAAAGAAAATGGTGAATGCATATAGAATCACTGGATGCTGCTCAGGTACAACATAAGCACAGGATGCTACCCAAATTCATACAAAGCACTGGGTGCTCTCACCATGGCATTATAAAGCACTGGGTGCTGCTTATTATTGTATATCTATAGGAATTTGGGTATGGGGTCCCATGAAAAAGCCATGACATATATAATCAATAAGCTATGATTAAAAGATCATATATTACCTTGGTCAAAAGCACTGGGTGCTACAAGATGCAAACAGCATGGAATCCTGCATGTGTGCAATGCAATCAATGAGACTTTGAGTGCTGGTATCTTTTTTCCTCCTGGAAGCTTGTGCTGGTGGTCACATTTCTGGGTCTATGCCATTGTTGGCTGCTGCCCTGGCCAAATGGTTTTCATATTGGCCATTGGTCCTGGGAGACCACTTGGCAACATGTGCCCTGGCACTGGCCATGTCACCCCTGTGGAGATGGCCTGCCAGATGGATCCATTTGTTCATCCATCCTTGGCTTTCTCTGCCTGGTGGTGGTGCCCTTCTGGGACCTGCCTTCTCCCTTGGAGTTGGCTCACTGGCTCTGTCCCTTGGAGGGATCACTTGGGGCACATTTGGCTTGGGTTCCATGGCCTTGGCTGGCATGGCTTCCATAGACTGGGCTGCCTTGAGGTTGGCTGGCATGGCTTCCATGGCCTGGGCTGCCTTGGGCTCCATGGCCTTGGCTTTCATGGCCTTGGCTGGCATGCCCTTGCTGGTTGCCACCATGGGTTTAAGTGGTGGTGGTGCAAGGGCCATGGCCTTGCCTGCAGGTGGTGGCTTGCTGGTCTTGCCTTCAGGTGGTGGCTGGGTGGCCTTGCCTGCAGGTGCTGCCATGCTGGCCTTGGCTGCAGGTGCTGCCACTGTGGCATTGGGTGGAGGTGCTGGTTTGGTGGTGAAGCCACCCAGTGGCTCCAAAACCTTTTGGAGTGCTTTGAGCAAAGCCTCATTGTCCTCTGCTGGCCTGGAAGGCCTGCTGGCACTGGAAGTGGAGGCAGCTGGCTCTGCAACTGGCTCCTGGTAACATGGAAAAACTGTGCCAAACCAAAATTTACATGTGATTGGTCAAATGGGCCACAGTCTGGCCTCCACGAACTCCACTTCATCCTTTGGTTTTTTCAACCTGGGATCCTGTTCAGTGTCAAGAATGAAAGTGGAAAGACACACTGGGTAATTATGTGCCATTAGCTGGGCTGAGATGTCTCTCTCTGACCCTGTCCTCACCAGCTTGGGCCACCATGGCTTGCTTCCTTTTGGCACTCCTGAGTTCCTGCAAATTTGCTTGGATGGCATGGATTCAATTTTCTTTTGCACTTGACCTTGATAAATGGCATCAGAAGTCCTTGTCTGGCTTGTGTTGTCTTGGTCCCACACCAATGGCCTGAGAACACACATAAATGAGATATGCTACACTTGGCTGCTGCATCAATTTGAAAAATAATGAAACCCTCATATGCCTTGGAGCGTCCAAAACTGTCAGGATGCTTGGACTTGGCAATGGTGACCTGCATCCAAGACAAAGAAGCAAAAAACAGTGATGTAAAGTGGCTGTGGTGCCTCTGTCATGCCCTCATCATCCACTGGTGGTGGACTGGGTGGCTCAGTCTGGGTCTCAGCCATGGCCAAGGCATGCTGCCTGGCCAATTGCTCATCCAAACTGATGGCATTGACCAGAATCTCGTCCAAGCCTGTCTCCTGCTCAGCAGCAATGAATTTGCATGCATTGGTGGGATAAAACATATTGGTATCCAATGGCTGTATACTATTGGCTCCTCTTCTGTGTTGGGCATGGTTGTGGTTGGCTACCAAGTGGCAAAAGCTACTTTGAGCCCATGGCCTCGAGAATGTTACATGTGGTGTTGATGGATTATAAGGTAATAGGTGAAGAAATTCTTTGGAATAGCAAGAACTGGGTGCTTTTTATCAATAATATGAAGCACTGGGTGCTCATTATGTGAACAAAGAAATTATATCAAGCATTGGGTACCCCTAGCATGAACAAAGCCATGATGATGGAAAGCACTGGGTGCTGGTGATTATCTATGTCCTTATTTGGTGATGGTATTGAAACACATCTGAAGCAAGGTTTCCAAACACATGCAGCTGCTGAGATGCAAACATGGTCCTTGATGGTTGGCCATTGCAAATCTGCATGCCATGAACAGCACAAACTTTCCTTTTTGGTCAGCTGTGGCAAAACAGTCTATGGTCCCAGCACCTTGGCCCAACTCAGTCCTGACCAGTGGGCAACAATGCCACAGAAACACATGGGCATACTTTGCTCCATTGTCTTATGAAATAAACATTGTAGCTCAATATGTGTGAGTGTCTTTGTCTTTTTCTTTTTTGGTACATGTCTCATGTTTCCCATAATCATTGGTTGCACCTTGCCTTCTTCTCCTTGGTGGTGGCTTCTCCCTGGAGGCCCTCTTGCAGCACAGTGAAAATGGGACCAAGTTCCTCTGGTGTCATTTCTGGTTGGAGGTCTGCCTGAATAGATCCACCAGAGCAAAAAATGGGTACACTGTGGCCCTCTACATCAATGTGGACAACTTGGTCTTTCACATTGGCTCTCATCTTCTTCTTTGGCTGTTCCAAGCCCATGCTATCTCCTTCTGTTTGGGTTTCTTCCAATTCTTTGGCCAATGCTTCCTGTCTTTTGGCTTTCAAAGAAGCCAACTGTGTGCTGTCTGTGAGGCTGGCATTTTTTTTGGGTGCTGCCACACCACATACAATTTGGATGATCTTGTAGTAGCTTGGCCTGATCTTCAAATAGTCTTTCCCTTCATGCTGTGCCACCAACTCTGGTGGGATCATGACCTTTTTGGATTGCTGGAAAGCCAGGCAATATTGCTTGCTGATTGTCACCATGGCTAGGTGCTTGTGGCACAAGCAGGAAAAGGCACTGCTGACTAAGCCTTGAACATGAAAAGCACACAGTGCTCTATGGTTGGCCTTCCACATATGTAAAGAAAGCACTGGGTGCTGAAAACATTGCCCACCCCATGTAGCCACATGAATCATTTGGCTGCAGCATATGCTTGTATTGTAGTCCTTTCATGCATGGTCCACAATGATGCAACACAGCCACTATGTCAAGCACACCTTTTGCCAAGCACCAAAACCTACTCCTGGTGTGTGGCAGCCATTTGATTGGCAAAAACAAAGCCCAACACCTCCAGTGGAGCTACTTTGGGTGAAACCACACTAAGTCCTTCCTGCTTTTGCCCTCTTGGCTGGTGGTGACACTGTGGCTTCCTCTTCCTTCTTATCCTTTTCCTTGTCTTTGTCTTTGTAAAACAGCAGCTGGTCCCCAATGTCAATCTTGGTGGAATTCTTGTAGCCAGGGATTTGCCAATTGGAGGATTTGGCAACAAAAGGCTCCATGTTGGCCAAAGACTGCTCAGGGGTTGGCCTCACATGGAAGTATGGAACCAGGCAACCTGTGCCTTCCTTGAGGTCCAACTTGGGTGCCAAAATTTGCAACTCTTGGCCCAAGGAGCTGGTCATGGTGAGCATGGAGGCCTTCACCTCCTTCACCACAGCCACAGGGCCAACTGGAAACAGCACAAGCTTGCCCTTGCCAAAGCTCTTGTTGGCCAGGATGCCATTGAAGTTCTGGGCCACCAGCAAAGAATCTGCGTCCAGCTTCACTTTCCTGCAAACACAGCTGGTTTAAGTGTGGGTGGCAAATTTGCAAATCTTGTGTGAATTTGTTGCACATAGCACAATGAGTTGCAACCAAGATACTCCTGGTAGTGTTGGCACAGGATTTGCTGGGCCTCTGCCTTCATGGCTTCCTTCAGCAGCTGCTCACTTTGGCTTGGGTGTAGCTTCTCCAGTGTTGCAGTTGGAACCAACACTGGGAGGTCCCTGTCAAACTTTCTAAATCTCTTCAGGTCTTCATTCTCCACTTCCAAGCCAACTGCTGGCCCAATCAATGGCTGGTGCTCAAAATTGGATTTGTCTGGGCCAACATGCTGGAGCTTCCAAACTCTTGGGTCAGCAATTTTGGGATCTTTGGCTTTGTAAGTGTAATGGCAACCTGGCTCCACTCTGTAAGTCTTCATGGCCAGCTTGGCTGGGTCTGCAGCATCCTGGCAATGGGTAGCAATGGAGGACAATTAAACCACAATTAAAAATCCAAGCCACACACAAACATATGTTGTGGGCACATGCATACAGATTCCCAGGCCTGGAGTGTATCTGGCTGGGGCATAGGCTGTTGGTGGCTGGAAGAAGCTGGCTCCACAGATGGGGCCCCAGGTGCTGCTTCCACTTCCAACAGCTCTTCAGAAAACAAAGTGGAAATTTCAGCTAAAGACTCGTAGTTTTTGGTGTCTCTCCCTTTGGTTTCCTTCTTGGCAATATGCAATGCCATCCTGACCATGCACCTGCCCATCAAGTTGTAAGCCTTGGGTGTGTCTTTCCATGGCTTGCCTTGCAAAGTGGCCCAGTTCATGGCCAACATGGATTCACATTGAATGACCAGAGCCTTTTGGTGCTTGGACTTCAATTTTTCACAGTCTGCCTTGGTCAAACATTTGGCAATGCCATCAATTGACCTTGGTGCAGACAAATTGGCTGCCAAGAGTGCAGCCCGCACCCAGGGCATGCTGGAGCTTTTCTCCTTGAAGTCCAGGTAGGCCACTGTGGAGAAATACTCTTCCCCCAGCTTCAAAGTGGTGCTGAACTGCTTGCCTGAGTACAGGGTGTCATGGGGCAACAAACACAACAATGTCAGAAACCCAAACAGATGTTGGCAGCTAATGAAGCCCAGCTGCTGATGTGCTGGAGCAGGTGGAGCAATGGCCAGCCAACACCGCCACTGAAGTTTTGGACATAGTAGCCCATGGTCTGCATGTAGTTGCTTCCCTCTGGCTGGCTGCTGGCTGCCAGTTGAATGGCTTGGGCCATGTCTCCTGAGCCATTGCTGTTTTGGCCATGCTGGTAGTGGGTGGCAATGGTGAGCATGGTCTCACATTCGCCTTGGCCTTGGCTGACTGCCTGGGTGGTGTTCAAGGCCTGTTGGACCAAAGTTGGCAGGTCTGGGAAGGCCTCTTCAACCAGACTGGACACCACCAGCCATGTCCACCCTTGCTCACACATGGTCACCAAACCATCTTGGCTGTTGGCCAAAGCAGCCAAACTCAACTGGCCATTGGTTTTGGCCTTGAGACTTGGCTCCTGGGTTTGGCACCCATGGAGAACTGCTCTGCAGAAGGCGACTAAATGGCTGCTGGAGCAGCTGAGCAATCTCTCTTGGCCAGTTACTGGTGCCAGTTGGTTGTGGGAGGACTCCACTAGTTGAATGTTGGCCTGGAGCTGTTGCTGCTTGGTGCTGCCTTTGGTCGACACCTCAAAGGCAACACTTTCTTGGATCTTGTTCATGGCAATACCCAATTCAAGCATCTTGGCACCCTTGGCATGCACATCCCATGCATTGAGCATGATGCCTGCTCTATTCTTTGGGTGGCACAACACTTGGCTGGGGACCTCTGTCCTTGGCCATGCCAAACCTGCTTGGACCATGGTTTCCTTCAACTTGGCCCATTTGGTGTTGATGGGCAGTTGCTTGTCATCCTTCAGCTTGGTAAGCTCAGCCACCACATGGGGGTCCATGGCTATATAACAGGTGGCTGCACAGGGAAGCTGCTGTTCTTGGACTCATGTTGTCCAACATTGGTCTTCGTGGAATTTGTGTTCACTTGTTCTTTCCATTTCTGTTTTTTTGTTTCTTGCCTTTGACATTCACATTGTGCAGGCTTCTGGAAGCTGGGCACACTTGTCTGCAGGAATTCACAGATCCACACATGCTCTTTTTCCAAACAATTCAAGCTGTGGCAAGCAAATTCAACTTAATGCTGGATAGCACTGGGTGCTGGGTATATAGCACTGGGTGCTGGGTATAGCACTGGGTGCTGGATATATAGCACTGGCTGCTGGGTAGCACTGGATGCTGGGTTGCACCGGGTGCCTATATATAGGTAGCGCTGGGTGCTGTCAATAAACCAATGCAGCTATATGGCATTGTGTGATTGGTGGATGGAAAAGTTGCCTGTAGCACTGGATGCTACAGGTATTGCATGGCAAGTAACACACTGGTGCTGGCAGCTGTGGAGATCTGATGCATTGCAAATGTGCTTGCAGCAGGCTTGAAAAATATGAAAAAGTTGTCTGCAAATTTCAATCAAGAGATATCAATGTGCCAGAAAACATACAAACCTGGGCTGTGGAACTTTTCAAAATTTTGTTTTAAAAACAACATTGGACAAAGAAAAAGTTCGTGAGAATATTGATCATGTCCATGTTGTGAAATTAGCTAATTCTTAGCTAAGCCATGTCTAATGTTTAGCAAAATTATGTTGCTTTATCATAATTAGCTAAAGATTACTTAATCATCTTACTTGCTTATAAGCTTTTAGGAACTTTAGTAGATACTTAGCAATGCTTTAACAGGCATTTAACAGACTCGTAGCATGGGTTTAGATAATGTGAATAAACTTCTTAAGCCCTTAGCAAAGAAGCAGATCATCTAAGTAGGAAAACCACTTGAAACCCCGACCGAAGATCACAGTCACCCGAAGGTGCCGTGCAGAGAACGTGCAGTCCGGAGACGTAGGTGTTGGAAGGGCCAATCTCAACAGTTTCAACGGGGGTCAGGTGAAAACCTAGTCAACAGTTCACTTACATTGTGATGCATCCACAATCCATGCGAGAGTCGTGATAAGGCTCAAGGGGTCAGATCAACCCCATGGACAGCTTACGTCGTCAACCCCCGAATTACGTGCACATTTGAGCCGTACCAACATAAAAAGAAGAGTCACCATACCTGCAAGCATGTCCTAATACCTGGAAATCCATGTTGAGTAAAAGGTGAAGCCCAGTACTGCGGCCAGCTGTTTAACACTTGACAGGCGACAGGTGAGACCCGAAAAATGGCCAGCTGTTTCACTTTACTTAGATGAATTACTAGATTAAAAATGTAAATTCAGACATCGGGTCGTTGCAACCACAAATCTGCTTAGAAAAGCATTCCCCGAAGGGTTCATGCCACCTTGACGAATCCAGCATGAATCACACACTTGCTCAGAACAGTCATTGCGAATTTTGATGTGGAATGCATTTTACGTGCAAAAAACACTCCAATTACACCTGACAGGAATGGGTCGGTGAAGAGACCCGAGAAAAATTGAAAAGGTACCATCGCCATGTCCAGTGCAAGATGAAATAAGTTGACAGAGTGCGAAAACCGTGCAAATCGAGAAATGTGAAAGCAAGTTATTTGGAAACGGCATGGTGGTTCTTGGGTTGGCCACATCCCATGTCCGAAAATGAAGCAGGTACGTGACAAAGGGGTCCCTTCGTCATATCACCATGGAAAGGCAGTGTCTTCGTTGGTGGATGACTGCCAGACCATGCATCCACCCCCTGCTGAAGAAAATACCATGAGAATACTGAAGCGCAATCACACCGAACGAGAATCTTGCATGAAGAAATTGCGAAGAATCAACACAGGCGACATCACAACGAAGGAGCTTCCACTTCCAATTGAAGTTCACAGGTACAAGTTTTACATCTATTGAGATGGTTCACACACACATACATACATACAGACAGACAAGCAGGCAGGCAGACAGACAGACAACCAGACAGACATACATACATACACTACATGCACTACATAGACTACATACACTACATTGGATACATTTTCACAAGATACATTCGATGCATACAATACATACGATATATATATATATACATACATAATTTTATTTATATACATACATATTTACATACATACATACATACGTACGTACGTACGTACATACATACATACATACATACGTCGTACGTACGTTAAATGTGTTACATAGCTGACATATTTTACATTTGTTACATACTTTACATATGCGACATGCGTTACATACCTTCCATACATTGCATACACACATACATGCAAACATGCATGCATGACATACTTTACATATGCGACATGCGTTACATACCTTCCATACATTGCATACACACATACATGCAAACATGCATGCATGCATGCATACATACATACATACAGATACATGCATCCATACATCCTTACATCCATACATCCTTACATATATATATACACACGTACATACCTATGTACATACATACATACATACATACATATATACATACATACATACATACATACATACATACATACATACACACATACACACATACATACATACATACAGACATACAGACAGACATTCAGACAGACAGACATACAGACGGACATACACACATACATACAGACATACATACATACATACACACATACACACATACATACATACCTACATACCTACATACCTACATACCTACATACCTACATACATACATCAATACACACATACATGCATACATACATACATACCTACATACCTACATACCTAGATACCTAGATACCTAGATACCTAGATACCTACATACCTACATACATACATACATACACACATACACACACATACCTACATACCTACATACCTACATACACAACATACACAACATACACAACATACATACATACACTACATACACTACATACACTACATACACTACATACACTACATACACTACATACACTACATACACTACATACACTACATACACTATATACACTACAGACACTACATACACTACATACACTACATACACTACATACACTACATACATACACTACATACATACACTACATACATACACTACATACACACACAGACAGGCAGACAGACAGACATATAGACAGACAGACATACAGACAGACAGACATACAGACAGACATACAGACAGACATTCAGACAGACAGACATACAGACAGACATACAGACAGACATACAGACAGACATATAGACAGACAGACATACAGACAGACAGACATACAGACAGACAGACATACAGACAGACAGACATACAGACAGACACACATACAGACAGACATACAGACAGACAGACATACAGACAGACATTCAGACAGACAGACATACAGACGGACATACAGACGGACATACAGACAGACATACAGACAGACAGACAGACATAGATACCGGTGATATTTTCAGGTGAAGGCAGCGAAGATCGCTGCCTTGAACCTCGTGGAGGAGCTGGTCAACGCAGGGGTCCCGCTGGACCAAGAAGATGGTGGCTTGGCTTGGTGCTCGCGCAACCCTTTCGTTACTTTGCGCGCGTCAGATCGCTCTCATTGTGGCACAGTGATCTCATCACTTTGTGCGTGTCGGATTGCTCTTGCTGTGGCGTGGTGCTAATTTTGATATCGCATGCGCAACCCTCTCGTTATACTTATACTTTGTGCGCCTTGGACGGCTCTCGTTGTGGCGCGAAGCTCATTAGCTGATTTGCACAGGATGGGAGAGAGAGAAATTTGTGAAGATCCTGGTGAAATCCTCTAAGAAACCCGTGCATGATCTTTTTCAAGTCCAAGTCCTTGTGAGAAGATCTTGTGGGGATTGGCGAAATTCTACCTTACAAGGTCCTTGCGTGAAGATTGTGAAGATGACGGATTCTTGTATGAATCAAAGCTCTTGTCGGATGATCTGAGAGGAGGTTGCTGTCAAAAGATCCCGCAAGATCCCCACCCCGATCAAGACTCCGCAGAGGCCCTTGTGAGAAGATCTTGTGAAGATCCTGCTGGAATGGCTGAAATCGTCCAAGCAGTTTCCTGGGAGAAGATCTTGTAGAGATCCTGCTGAAATCCTGTAAACGGTCCCTGCATGTTGTGGAGATCCTGGCAAAAGCTTCCACAAAGTCCTTGCACGAAGATCTTGGAGATGCCATGTATCGGAGATGCCGGTCCGAAAGCGCTCATGAAATGTTCTTCGAGGTTCTTGCATGAATATCTCGTAAGATCCTCTCTGGCAGGTCCTTCTTTGACGATCCTGTGAGATTCTCTTTCAAAAGTCTTGGTATGAGATCTTGATGATGAAGATCTCGCAGAGGTCCTTGCAAGAAGATCTTGTGGGATCGTACTGAAATCCTTTCTTAGAGGTCCTTGCATGAAAGTCTTGAAGATGCCCTGTTTTGGAGGTGCTGGTATGAAAGCTCCTGCGGGATGCTTTGCTAGGAGGTTTTTGTATGAAGGTCTTGCAAAAGAGCCTCTAGATGGTCTTTGACTGTTATGAGTTGTGAGGAAGTAAAAAAATAACTACGTCCGCTTAGCTAAGCAGGTCCCCGTTCGTACTGGATATCGCCCATTCACATTAAAACGATAAGGAAGGAGGAAAAAAAGGTAACCCACAGTATATATGTACGTTAACGTCCTGTTACTGATAAGGGATTCATGTACGCAGCGCAAGTCAGATGCTTTGCATTTCGCTCTATGTTCGTGGAGGTAACAACAAAACGGTTGCAAAAACGCTCACAAAATCAACCCGAAAAATTGCTTTGAACACGATGGTCCAAACCCCATGAAGTTATACAGAGATATGAAGAGTAATTAAACTTGACGAGAGCTGAGCGAAGACATTGTAGCAAAAAAGTGATTAAGAATGACTTCTTAGTTGTTATCGTATGTGCGTGAGTTTCTCATAGCTTGCTTGAGTGCTGACAGCTAG